CGGGAGACTCAGACAGGGGGAAAGGGACAGAATTGCCTGAGGAAGACTAACATATTGCCCATCATTTTACATCAAATTCCACGTAAAGCAGATGTTTATTTGCTTTTATTTCCTCCTTCCCTGTGACTGTTATTACTTTTTCAGGAGCACCTTGGCTTCAGTCTTGTTCTTAACAAGGGGGAGAGATGCCCCCAGTTTAGAAGAAGACAGATTGTCACCAGGGCGCAATTCAAGCAAATGTGCATTTATTTGTGCCGTGCGGTGCTCATAAATTACTTGGGTGTTAAAATAAGCATCATCATCATCTGTTTTTTATTTACAGATTATGGTATGCATCTGGGAGAAGGACTGTGCTTGTCCTTTAACTATAGTCAAACAGGCTTATGCCCTGGTAGCTCATGGCATAACATCAAAAATCATTACTTTGCAAGCCTGTTGCTACAACTAACCTTTTACTTTCTTTTGAACCTTCACTGCATGCAATTATTGCTGCTTCTGACAGATGGTGAAAGCTTTTATACTGTGCGCCATTAAGGAAGGCAGAGGCTTTTTGTTTTTAAGGCAAATACAACTGTGGCCATCAGCTTGGTAGTTTTAACGAATGAGATTTGCCTGTATTTTTCATGTCCTCCCTGTGCGTTTTGCCAGGTACTCGGGTTTCCTTCCACTTTCCAAAGACGTGCTTAATTGACGTCAGCAAATTGTCTGTGTGTGTCCCGTGATGGACTGGCATCCCGTCCAGGGTGTTGTTACGCTTTGTGCCCTATTGGAGAGGATCCAGATTGCCACAGCCCTTACCAGGAATGAGCAACTTTCAGCATTTTATTTTGTCTTGACACTTCAATTTTCTTTTGCTAAACTTAACTTGGTGGAAAAGGATTTAGTCCCACCCACTGCCTGAACTGATGAGGGCTAGGCATATTTCTATACTTGGAGTTTTATCAACTAGGAGACAAATTATTTTCCAAGTTGCGTGCCCGCCCCCCGAGGAAGAGACTGAGCAGGGACAGAAAGTCTCCCCTCGGCGGACAGCAACCCGAGACGCCGAAGCGGCTGGCTCCCTCTCTCGCATCATGCCATGGGTGTGAGGCAGATCGAGCAGGATCAAACTGTTCGGATGCCAGCTGAAATCCCTGCGCGTTTCTTCGTTTGTTATATTTTAAAACGACGTACAACAATTTAAAAAAAAAAATTTAACCCCCTCCCTCCTCTCTTTCCCGCCACTGCTTGAAAAGAACTAATTGGAAAACATCTCCCCTGATGCCACCCAAGGGAAGGGAGATTAAGGATATGTCACTTCAGGGACTGCAATATATTTCAGGCAGCAAAGGCTCATTTCCTAGAATTAGCTTAATTGCTGCAGTTTCAGCAGGCAGAAATGTTACTGCAGTATAGACTAAATCCTGCAGTCCTCTTTGGGAGACTTTTTTTGTTTAAAGGAAAGTTAGTGTTTTAAGGTTCTGTTTATGCAGCCCTGCAGTTTATGTTTTTCTTTCCACAGAGAACTGCTTATTTCGTTGCAGGGGTTTCTTGTACTTTAAATCGAGATACTTCGTTTCCACTTGCAATTTGTTGTTGGCTGAATTGTGTGGACACGCCGAGTTAGAATCAAGAGCAGGTCTTTGGGTTAAACAGTTATTCGCTTTTTAGACTGTGTCCAGAGATGCCCTGTCCTCTTCCCATGATTTACCCCCACAGTTCAAAATCCTGTTAATGTCACCTGCCACACGTCATTATTATTCATTTGGAGTGATGCTTTTATCTTTGTTGGGTCAATGCAGGAAAAATACCCAGATGTCAAGAGAACTGCAGTCGTGTCCTCACCCGGGGGCAGAGTGTTCAGATCCCTGAGCACTGTGCCCCTCTTCTGCTTATTCGTTTTTTCCTTCGCCCCCACCCCTTACCACTTCTGCCTGACCAGGCCTCAGTGCCAGAGCGACAGCTGGTCGGCCACACGCTTCACCGAGCAGATATTTTGAGAGTGGAAAGCATTGGGCCAGTCAGTGTACAGCTGTGCTGTCCTCTCGCTGCAGAGAAAGACCGAAAGAGCCTTCATTATCTTCCAGCCGTGTCCTTACAAGGAGAAAGGGAGAGGGGGGGCAGCTTGGAGATCGGCATCCCTGCGGACTGCAAGGCAGGGCAAACCCCGATCACTGGCTGTGTGCCTCCAGCCTACTGAGGGAAAAACAGCAACAGAGCTCTTTTGATGTTAGTCAAGCTTGTTGTTTTTTTTTTTCTTCTTTTGTATCGTTGTACAGACCTTTCCCTTTGCCATTCGGGGACTTTTCTGAGGTTGTGGCAAGTGGAACATATTTTGCATGTGCTTACAGTCACACGTGTACAGTCAGAAGAAAGGAAAGGGGGAGGGGTGGTGCGCTTGTAAGCATTCGCTCAACCAGCAATCCTGAATGGTGGGTCCCCTGTTTAAGGTGAATTTACAGTCGCTGGCGCTGCAGTTGGAGAAAACCTAATGACTTAGTTGGCAAGTTTGGTAAAATAAAGGTAGTGATTATTAGGAGATTGACAGTAAGACCACTACAGGAGGAAATCAGAAGGATGAAGCAGGTGATGATTGTTCAGTGCATTTTTAATGGCACCTTTACTTGCAGTGATGAATGAGCATTAGCCAGGAGATCAAAGCTAACTTTTTTGAAAGCAGGGAACATGAATGGGGGGAAAAAAGCTTCAATCAGAATGCTCAAGATAGTGTCTTAGGTCTTCATTTGCCCACTTTCCATCAGGGGTTCTTCTGTTTTGCAGCAGAACAGTAAGCGGACACGTTGTCTGCTCTAATGGCAATCCAGACGCGGGGGGGGGTGCTGTGCCGACAGCAAAGATTTGCCCTATTTCTGTGCTTTCCACTCCATTTGTGCATCTTCACAAAGACCACATTTTTCATTTGTGACTTGCTCTCTGAAACCCCTGAAGGGCGGGGGTGAAACTGTTCATGTTTAAGTGGAAGCTCTGCAAAACCTGTCCACGTTACCGTGACCATTATGTAAAGCTGAGTGGAAAAACTATTTTTGAATCCCGTTTTATCAAGAAGTACCTCCTCAGCTGCTAGTATTGCTAATCAATAAGTTATCTGCAGTAGCAGGCTATGTCTGCCACTCCTTTCAGCTCTCTTCAAAGTATAGTTATTTTAAAGGCAGCTTACAGTAGACCTTTCGGAACCTGGTCAAAATGGAATACAGAATATAGCCTACTCCTGAGCAATCATGCCTTGCTGGTACCTTTATCTTTTTAGGCTGGTATACAGCAAAAGTTAAAAGGGTAGCAGTAGAAACCTTTCACCCAGTCAAGCAACAGTCTTGTCTCAGTTGCTTTTACAGCAGTGCCAGAAAAGGATGAAGGTGATATCCTGGTTTAATTAAATAAACACCTTGGAGCAATGGGTTGTCTGCTTCTGTTTCTGGCTAGGAAGTGAGGGACACGTTCACTTTCTAAGAAACACCTGGAGCGTGTTTTATTGCGACCTTTTTGCTTTTGTAAGCATGTATGTTTTTAGGAAATGTGGCAACAAAGCTGTAGTAATTGCAGTCCAGGTGCAAGATATCTTGAGCAAGGGACACACTTCCAAAATGGCATAAAATGCACTTTTGCCTGAGTAGCTAAGCCCAGTGAGGCTATAAGACATTTAGTGTGGGAGAGATACTGTGTGCGGGCATGTAGGAGAGTGCTCAGGGCCTCTCAGACCACTGCTGAATTAAGGTAAAATAAAAGGCTTGGATGAGATCTCTGCTAGCTTCAGGTTTCAGGTGGGTGGGATGTGCATTGTGTGCCATGTTGAGACCTCAGCCTGTCTGTGTCTCTGTTCAGTGTGGCCCGTGCCGAGCTCTCTCTACTCAGGAAGGATGTTGCATGTTCCATTTCCGCTGCAGGACTCCAGTGGCTTTTTTTTCTTTTGCTCCCATTTCACTCTGTCTGCTTCCTTAGCTGTGAATGTGGCACTAGATGAATGCTGTAGATTTTTGTACTCGACTCCTCTTTTTGCTTCATATGTTTTACCATTCATAACTGTTTTTTGTCCTAGGCTTTGCATGTTTAAAGCCCAGTTCCCGTACTGTTTCTCTGTGTTGATTCTTCTCAGCTGTGTCAATGGCTGTGCTCTACAAGGAAGTTTGTCAAAACCACCTCACTGGTATGATGCAGTACTTCCTATGGTTGTGCTGAGGGAGTTTTCTTGTAGCTGTTACTTTAAAATGAAAGAAGAGAAAGAGAAAGGTAAAAGCTGCCCAGTTGGTAAAGCGTAGCGTTTTTTTACCTCTTTCTTTCAATTTTCCTCATGTTCTTGATCAGGATGGACATTTAGATGCTACTCAAAGTTGAGCATCAGCTGTCAGATGAGCCTCAGTGTCTGAGAACCCGGGTTTATTTTCACTGATCACACCAGTGTGATGGATCCGGCCTGTAAAATGTGCTGTCCACATGTAATTATACGATCTCTGTGAGGATCAGAGTGTTGCTCGCTACCTCTCCTCATCATTGCTGAGAAAAGCCTTGATTCAGAGAAGACTTCGTCAGTGCAGCATAACTCAGGTTTGCATGTGCTGTGGGCGTTTAGGAGAAATCAAGGGGAATCTTATTGTTGTACAAAATGGAGTCGTGGGTGGATGAGAAGAAACCGTGTCTAGATTTAATTTTGTCTACACGTCATTGTTCCCTAATGTGAAGCGGTGATTTTTGTGAAAATTAAATGTAAAAAATCTCTCTGTTTAATGGAGTGAAACGCTAAGCTTCTGTGATCATCTATAGACAACTTATATTCACTGTTTAATTTAAGATCACAGGTATTTATGGAATTTCTGCCATAATTCTTTTGATTGTTACCCTTGCATAGGCTGACGGCATTAAGAAAGGTGATTGCGTTTTCTTTTTCTTTTTTGCTGGTACTTAAAGTAGTCTTTTAATTTGTGTTGGAAGATGTGCAGAAAAGTGAGGCTTAAGTTAAAATAATGCACTTCTATTTGACTGAAACATTCTTTTTTCTTTATTGCCAGGTTTTAAATGAAGAATGTGACCAGAATTGGTACAAGGCAGAGCTCAATGGGAAAGATGGCTTCATTCCCAAGAACTACATTGAAATGAAAGCACATCCGTAAGTTGGAACCAGGACTTGTACTTCTCTGTTATGTTGGGGATCCATCTGTATTGTTTCCATTGGCTCCTGAGGTGGAGATGCTCCATTTCTGGGCCAACAATGCCTGTTCAATTATACAAAAATGAGAGCCTAAAAGAGGATTTGAAAGGCAAGATTACAAAAATTGAATTTTACTGTGCTGGATGTTTGTATGCCAATGTGCTGGCCACATTTAAGAAATGTATACTTATGATTCTTACTTCTGAAAATGTGCAGACAAGATGTTTTGACCTTTTGTTCAAAACAGTTGTGACCATCCAGTAATCATGAGCTGTTCTAGATGTTAAGGGGAAAGTATGGTGTTCAGTGCTGTCTGTAAAAGTAGCAAACCAGCATTCGACTTTCCAGAAAAGCCACTGTTTGCATGTGAATAGACAACAAACCGACAAGTTTAATAAAACCTTTATATTCACTTGCCAGAATATTAGAAACCTCCATCCTCTGTGAACAACAACAGATACCTTGAACAAGATATGGTATGCATTCTGCAAGGTTTTGAAATATTCATACACCCATTTTCCTCAAAGTCTTCTCGAGGTTTTGCTAATGGATACCTCCCAAAAATCCACTGTTTGGATGTGAGGAGATTGTTCATCTTGACTGTCAACAAATGGTCATTTCTCAGAGCTGAGAGCCCTGTTGGCTTTAACAACCAGAATTATCGGAGAACCTGCAGGCCAGGATCCCATCTCCCCCTACTCCATGCCTCTCTGTCCCTAGCCATGAATTCCTGTGTGATTAATATTCAGTAGCCTCTAAGATTGCAGTTAGGCCTTTGTCTCTTTCTACTTCAGGATGTGTTTCTTTGACCTGGTGCACACCACAGCACTTTGCATTTTTAATTATATTTCATCTCTGCGAAGGCAAGATTTTACTGTGCATCTCGACAGCCTTGAATTAATCAAATGATAAAGGGACACTAGGCTTAGGTATGTGTTGGAAGCAAGATAAGTGCGCTTCTAAATGAAGACCCTGTGTGGTTTTAACTATTTTGGCAGCATTCACCTGAGAAACAAAAACAGCTTCTGTGTTAGGACGTGCAGCTAGTTTCCGAGTCAGAAGGATTAAATAATGTAGCTGTGTATTTCCATGTGGTTTTCTGATATGGATCAGAGTGCTCTCTGAAGCACAACGTTTTCTTTGTTTTTAATTCTGATGTCTGGTGTGAAGTTCTTTTCAATTACCCTTCTTCACAATGCCATGCAACACAAACAGAACTTAACGTCTCAATGTGTGCATTACAGTCCCTTTTGACTGGAGCAATTTTACAAGTTCCATTACAGCCAGCTCATCTTCTAGGGTGCAAGGGTAAAGCCGTTCAAATTCTATTTTTTCTTCTCCGCTTTAGTCTCGGGAGACACCAGCTCCTTAATATGGTAAGGGTGCTACATTTGCAGGGGCAGGTAACTTTTCTTTACCCTCTGCAGAGTTTTCACTTTTGTAACCGCCGACAGCTGCGGGGCCTTTCCTAATAGTTTTTTTGTAGTTTTTGCTCACTTAGAAGTCTCTATTGAAGTGATTCTTCTGTAGGCCCTTGTGGATAGGTGAGCATTTATTAAGAACACTTGGGATGTCTAACTGAAATCTTAAAGGATGTTAGAATAAGTGCCATGTGCCAGCTTAGCCCTTGGTTATTAATGCATCCAAAGCTTTTAGTGGGAATTAAATATTGACCTTATTACACCGTTGCTAGAGCTAATCAGAAAATGTACTCTCCTGCCAGGCGGATGGAGTGCTGCAGATGTATGGTGGTCGTTTGTCACTGTCCAGGAAAACGGCAGATTGCATCCCCTTTCCACTTTATGAAAGCTGTTTCACAGGCGCTAATCAAAGCTTTGGTCAGAAGTGATGAAGCACGTTAAAGATTCAGGCGCCTTCTGTAAAGGTCACTGTTGTTCAGGGGGAAGGGAAATATTTTTAGAACCATCCATAGCTGTGCCGTATCTTTATTGCGAGCTATGTAAATGCGTGGTCGTGTCACCAGCAAGTCTGAGTCAGAAGGATTGCACCTGCACTAGGAAAAAAATGCTCGTCAGTAGTAAAGTGCTGCAGGTGCTATAATGAAATGAACTGGAATTTGCCCGGAGAGAAAGTCTGTGCTTCCTATTAGAGGTTTTATAATCGTGACCACCAGGTCACAACCACAACCATTTTTGTTTAAAGCAGGAAAGGCTTCCTGCATGTTAGTGTGAGACAGCCGCCTAATAATCCCACCTCCTGCATACAAGAGGTTCATACAAACCACTCTCATATCTGATGAAGTATAAATGCATCAGAAGCAAATAGAATTCCTCCACTGCACTGAGTCCAGTTATGGGTCAACATAGTTATCACAGCTGTCTTACACTGACTCTGCCCCATAGCGCAGGGTTAAGGAGTCCTGTGCTTGCTGGCTGCTTCACCAGTTTAGCCTTTTGTTGTATGTCTCAAGGCTAGCAGTTCAGTAAAGGCCTCTGCTGATTTGTTAGTATTCCCCTGTCCGTGAGCCTGGGTCTAACAATAAAGTATGCAGAACCAGCAGGCACGCACAACCTTGATGTAGTAGGGGGAGCAGAAAGTCAGTCTTTTAAAGCCATGTTGTAATCATCTGAAATAACTGAGCTGCTCACTTCACTGTAGCCGACTTGCTGTAAGTCAGGAACTCTTCTATCAGTGTATCCCCTGCTGCCTGAGCTTACACTTCCTATTTCTGTTGGTTTTTATTTTCTTGTAAGACTAGCAAAGCCTAATTCTTAGGTCAGTCTCACAGAAATAAAGAAGGAATATGCATGTTTGTATGAATAAGTGCATCCATTTTTTAAAAAGAACTCTTCCCCACTAAACCACGTTCATTCAATTCTCAAGTTTTTTTTTTATATATATATTAACTTGTCTTTTAAAGGCCATGTTCTTTAAAACAAATCATGAGTGGCAGGGTCTCCTTTAACGCTTTCGTTTAGAGTGTAATGGTGTCAACACATTGACCCTGAAAATCTATAACTTGCTGTGTCACCCACTGGATGGCTGTAAGCATTCTGAATAGAACTAGTTGAGACAGGGCTTTCGTGTTAATTTTTAAAGCCAGCATTTTTTATCAGACCAGGAACTGTACCTAGCGTGATAGGGTACAAATGCAAAGAGGATTAGCTCTTGGTCAATTCACGATAGATATATTTGTCGTTTCCATGCATAATCGCCAAGATTCCACTTTTGCATACTCTTTTATTAACCCTGATCTCATCTGACCTCTGGCACCTTCCATTCCGAGCGTGCTGCTCGCTGCCTTGCCTGACCTCCCAGCACCGCAGAGGAGCCCCTCTTCGATCTTAACTTCTTGTTTATCACTGAGGGTCTTGTTCTTTTTTTTTCCTTCTCCACCTTCCCTTACAGGTGGTTCTTCGGTAAAATACCCCGGGCGAAGGCAGAGGAGATGCTGAACAAACAGAGGCACGATGGGGCCTTCTTGATCCGGGAGAGTGAGAGCGCGCCGGGGGACTTCTCTCTCTCCGTAAAGTAGGTGTCGGAACAAGCTCCCAGTTTCCCCCACCCGACGGAACGTTACCGTCGGGCTACGGGGAATCGGATACTATCCGGTTTGTTGAGGAGTTTCTTTAAAATGTGCAGTTGAAAACCTCATCCCTTCTTTTCGAAACCCGGTGAATTTTAAGGTAGCCACGGAACACCCCAGTGTGTTCACTTGTAGCGTACCTGCTGCAATTAAAGGGGCTAAGTGGTGCCTCTGCTGGTGTCAAACCCATTGACAGAAGTGCTGATTTACAGGCACACGACTTCGAGTATGGAAAATTGTCAATTTAATAAAGCAGACCACAGATGACTGTGTCATGCAGCAGGGGAAGTCTGTCAATTGTGAAACGGATAAAGTTGAGCTAGCAGATGACAAGATTGTTTTTTTTACAGAGCTATCGTTGACATTTTATGGGGTTATTCTATACTGTCACAACCATACAGTACCGTAGAAAGGCGGTATTGGTCGCAGATCTAAACACTGTAAAAATCCCGTTTTCTCTACCATTTTATGTGCCTTGTTCTATACATGCAAAGACCGTCTTTTCATAAGGTGGCATTTTTATCACTCTGCTGCCCCCTGTTGGAAACCCTTTCCCATAGGTCCCTCTAACTTGCCGTTTTATCACATACCTTTACCAAAAAAAACTGCTTGTGCAGTTCACTGGCTCCCTAACCCTGAATTTCCCTTTTTTAGAATTGTAAAATGTTTGTAGGAAAAAAAAACTTCCCTTTTCTTGGTCAAAAGAGTTATAGAATTAAGTATGAATCCACATACAAAATGTTAGGTTAATTACCAATTCCCAATCCAGTTCACACCAGTCCTGCCCACTTTTTATTAATACATACAAAGCACATTTTGAGTCCATTTTACAAATTAATAGATTTATGCTATTTCTGTGTGTTGTTGTTCTTGTGTAACGTATTCTTGTTCAGAGGGATGACTCAAGACCACATTATTCTTTGGAGTCTAGAGCATTTTTCCACTTCTAATTTTCCAATAGACCATTAACACATTAATAATTAAAAATGATTTTAATTGATCCAGAGGTGCTCTGGTCAACACTGGGAATTTAGCTCAAGCCCCTTGCAGTCTGAAATAGTCTGAAAGTCCATCCATGTTTAATCAAATGCTCTGGCCCTCCTCTGCTTTTTGCTCAGGAAAGCTGAAGAGACCTATTTGATATTCATACGAGTGTTTACAGCAAATTATACAACAAATTATTTGAAAGTACAATAACAAAAAAGCATTTTGTTCTTTAATACGGATGTGAAGCAAGTATTGGTTTGATTTGTTGCCCTTTGTAATCATCCCCTCTGAGTTTTCACATTAGATGAAGTTGGTGTGAGCAGTGATGATTTTTTTTTCCCCCAAAGCAAACTTATTTGCTGTGTCCCCATCAACGAATAAGAATTCAGAATCGATCCCCGCTTGCTGTCTTACAGTTCTACGGTTTTATCTTTCATTTTCTCATTTTTCTTCTTGTAATGTTTTGTTATATTAAATTAAGAGTAAGAAATTGCCTCGTATGTCCTTACGTGTACAGTATGTTTCTAAATAGAAAAAAAAACTCCTAACGTCAGAAAGGAAATAACTTTCAAAACACCTGCAACTTTGATGCGTGGTTTTCTTCCAATGCATCATTTTCTTTTTTCTCTTAGAAGGAGCAACATGCACCCTTTAGTGAGAACGTAGACTGCTTGCTATGGCTGTACTTGCCGCCTGTACTGTGTGAAGTGTGAATGAGCCCTGAGGTCTCAGGGCCAGCAGAGTCTGTGAGAGCTGGAGAGCGTTGGCCAGCTTTGCACAAGGCAGGACCTGTCCGGTCGCTGTCATTTGACGAAGAAACGGTTATTTCAGTTGTGACTGCCAGTTTTCTCTTTGTGTGCACAGAAACTGGAGGGAACTGAAGGAACTTGAAGCACCTGACTGCCCTCTGTTTGGCTTCCAGGTTTGGGAATGACGTGCAGCATTTCAAAGTTCTCCGTGATGGGGCAGGGAAGTATTTCCTGTGGGTGGTGAAGTTCAACTCCCTAAATGAGCTGGTGGATTATCACAGATCCACCTCCGTGTCGCGGAACCAGCAGATATTCCTGAGAGACATAGAGCAAGTCCCCCAGGTGAGTTCGAAACCTTGAACGTTCACACCTATTCCTTCGCTTAGCCACACCAACATAACTTCTCACCTCTCAGTAAAGCCCACCAGGTTCAGTTTGGGTAACTGTTGAGCTATGGCCTAGGAGGAGGGCCTCTGTGCTGTTCACACACTCCTGTCTCATTCTGCGTGACATTGCTCTTCATTGTTCTGTAGAACTAGTCATCTCGTAATACATGACCGAGTAATAAATCTAAAGATATGCATAGAAAGGCGATTAGAAGTGGTAGTTCACATCAGTTACTTTTTCCAGTCGACATTTATCTTGTGTTCTTTTTTTGTTGTTGTCATTTCTGCATTATTTAAAATCCTAACAAAGTGTGCCAGAAGAAAACCGTAAAAAGCTATGCGTTTGGGAAATGTAATAGTGTTGAACCCACTGAACCTGCAGGTCCAGTGTAACATTCATTTCCTTCCCCTGTATACTTCCTGGCTGCCTGAAGTGCCAGGAAAGGTATCCTCGTTGTCAAGACAAATAGCAGTTAAAGCAGAATAGTATCATATGAACAGCTGGAAGATAAGATGACACAAAAGGCAATAAAATAGCAGGTCAGATGCAAATAATTTAAGACTCACTAAATCATGCCCTGTTGAGATAATGGAATGCATTACTTTGTATTATAGAGGACAGGAAATGAATGATTATCTGCCATCTGGTTTCTCGTTGTGTTCAACAGCCCTAGCAGAAGGCTAAGAAGCCACTGTAATGTGTCACCCCTCTGTCTCTCTTGAATATTACTGACCAGCCTGCCTTTGACTTTCCCTCCCCCACCCCTCCAGCACCCCACATACGTGCAGGCGCTGTTCGACTTTGACCCCCAGGAGGACGGCGAGCTGGGGTTCCGGCGTGGGGATTTCATCCAGGTGCTGGACAACTCCGACCCCAACTGGTGGAAGGGAGCGTGTCACAGTCAGACAGGGATGTTCCCCCGCAACTACGTCACCCCCGTCAACCGGAACATGTAAAGCCCGGAGGAGTTCTCCCCGAAAGCGGAAAGCGGAAAAACAGGAAGAGGAGCGTGTGCGTGATTCCCAGACTCCACCCCAGGGTGGCTGAGAAAAACCAATCTGATACTGAGAATGTTCGCCTTGACAGTGAACGCTGCAGTCTTGATGGAACTGTCATTAATATAAAAGTATATATAAAGAAAAACAATAAAAAAGAAAAAAAGTGTAGAGCACCAAAATCTAAGTTAAAATAAAAGACAAATTATTTTATCTCTAGGTTCCCACAGCTGCTTCTGCCGTCTCCTTTGTTTTTTTGTTTTGTCTTCTTTTGCGCATGTTTTAGTTACTTTAAACACACAATCACACGCAAAAAAAGAAAAATCCTAACGCTGTTTAAAAATTGCCAGACGCAAATTTTAAAAGGAACTGGATGCCAGCGGGGCGCCACGTCTCCTCCATGTCAGAGACCAAAACTTCACCATTAGCATTTTTACATTGGCCTTGGACTCTTTAAATCAAAGTATATATAAATCTGTTTTTTTAAGAATATATATTTTTTGTGTTTGTCTGTTTCTTTCACCGTAGTTTGTTTTTTCTAATGTAAATTATGTTTGGATTTGTGTTAATCTTGTTAAAACCGTAGCAGCTCTGGGATCAGTCTGATTGGTTATAATTGGACTCTCTGACTGCTTTCATGCTATGTAGTATGATACTTCAGGTATAGCAATCCCCTTTTAAATTGTTCCTTCCCCTCTTAAACCTTCAAAAAGTAAGACGGATTAGGATGGAGGTACCCCAAATACTTACAGAAAGGGTAGCAGAGTCCTTTCGTCATAGGAGGGGTGGTATCTGAAACAAGTACAGTCCATTCAGAAGCTGCCCGCCATTTGGAAAATGTTTTTTACGGCTGTTTGCTGTAGGAGTATGAATGTGGGAGGCCCAGGGCCTTGGGAAAAAGTAAACAAGCTTAGAGAAGTGAAGCAGTTGGTTGCCAATTGGTTTTATAGACTAAATGATATGAGATGTATATGTACACATACGTGTGTGTATATATATGGTTTAAACAGAATTATCTGGAAAGAGTCAGGATAGAGCTGGCTTTGGAACAGTTTCAAAGGAGAAGGGGTCTTTCAGATTAAGATGGAATTGTTTTATCAATGTGTGTGTTGGTCTTAAAAGGTGTACGGTTGAGCACTTTTCTTTTTTTTGTCTTTCGTTTCTCTCTTTGATAGTGCCTTTTTCCATTTTTCCCCTCTTATGTTTGTGTCTTCAGGCCTCCTAGGTGATTTCCCCAGTCAGGACACCGTTGTAAATAACCTGTTCTCCCAGTTGTTGCATTTTGATGATCATGGAAAAATTATTTCAGCGACTTTACCTTTTTATTATTTAAATGTTTTGCCATCTCTTTCCTAATGATACTTAATGTTTTCTTTTTTTTTTTGCAATTAATAAAATAAAATGATAAAAAAGGAACTTTTACTGATAGTGTTTTAGTCCAAGAGATGTCACTTAGTGGCACAGGATTATTTTTCATGCAGTATCAAAAGACTGTAGGCTCTTTTGTTTTTTTTTTCCCAACCAGTGGAGCCTGGAGAAGAAACAGTTGTATCTCTAGGTGTTTAAAATCTGAATGTATCAAGAGGGCTCTAGCTCTTGTAAAGCCAACTGCAACACAGTGACTCTGAATGCAGCTATTTTTTTTAATTTAAAGGGGTGCTGCATCAAAAACAGTGGTCTCGGTTACTTTTATCCATTACTGCAAAGAGTACAGTCTTGTGTTGTTACTCGTGTATTTTGTGTGGCCATATGTTTGTTTATGGTTTATCTCTCTAACAGTAATTAAGGCCAGGGGTGTCAATACATTCTCTTGATTTGGACTAATCTGAATAAAGAAATCGGACAAAACCTGTGTACTTTTTAAAGTATCTGCTTTCAATAAGGTCACTGTTGATTTCTTTGTAGGTGTTCCATTTGTTAAAATGTACATACTTTTGTTGGACAAAAACCCAACGTGTTCCTCTACAGCTGGTAACTTTAAACATTAAAGATACCAAGGCAAAACCTTGTTGCTATTCTCAGATACACCTGAGCCATATGTACATCACATGAGCTGTTCCTGTTTTCGCGATTGTCTTTAATGAAATTTAATCTGAGTCGTCTGTATTTTAACTAAAAAAAAAGCATCCAATATTTGTTATTGCAATCATAAAACTGTGGTGATAATAGTAAAAAAAATCTACACGTATGAAGGACATTCCTGTGTCCACATCATTTTAAAGTCCCTCCAGTATTCTTCGTTCTTTCATTGACAACGATTTGCGTTTGTAAGAATTGCAAAACACAGCATTCTTTTCTGTCTGTACCTGTATTATAGAAAAGTATTTTAAATGATCATCTAACATTCCTGCAGTGTTTGTGCATAGACCGCTTGCCCACTGTGCAGCATTTTTTCACATGGTTTCTATAAAGGGTTATGACTCGGTGCAAAGTGTACTGAGATGGTGCTCGGTATTTGAAGTATCTCGCATAAAAAGAGCTGACTGCAGTGGATTTATTAAATTGTTGATAAATTAGTTACTGGTGCATTTGGTATTTTGTTTCTATGGTAAATCAGAACCTTGCAGTGAGTACTTTATCCCTCGGTTGTCTAAGGGAAGATTGTGAGCAATCTAAATTTAAAGCTTGAGCCAAAGCAACTTGGATTAATACTCTTTCTTCAAATTGCTGTGTTTTACCCATTTAATGTTTTTTTGTGATGTCAGAGAGCCTGTTTATGTGCAAACATTCCCTACAGTGTAAGAGTAAAATCAGCATGTTAATTCTGAGAATTTTGGTATCGGTTGGCACCAGTTACAGAAGAGCTCATTGGTCTGAACTAGAGTAGTGCTTCGAGGCCGAGAGCTCTTAAGGGTTACTTCAGCATGTGACAATGTCTGTGACAACGTGTACGTCTTGGACCTCACGGTCAGGGTTGCCATGGTGCAAAGGGAGGCTAGGATTTATCTGTTTTTGTTTTTTTAAGTAAACTTCTGGTACTGAGGAGAAGATGTCTAAGGACTGTTGCCCTGTCTTGGGTTAAATTGTCTCTCTTTTTCTTTAAGGAAGCTTCCAGTTGTTTTGAGTGCTTCTCTGGTTTGAATTAGGCTGAATTCTACTAAATGTTTTTCCCGTTACTGCCTAGAATTCATAATGGACTTGACGAACTGCTGGTCTTTTCTCGATTGGAACTGCCTTGCACTTATCCCTACAAACAATTTAAAGACTGTGTTTCCCTCCACTCTACCCTGTTCAATGTAGCATTTAAAACTGTAGTTATGCAACTTGGAATTAAAAGAATTTTAAAAATATCAAAGGGTTCTTGTAAAATTCAGAAATCTGGGCTATTTTTTTAACTTAAAAGATTGTGTGGCGCTTTTCAAAAATGGTACTTTTTTTTTTCTCCTGACCAAAATTATTTGCTCTTGGTGGACAGTGATGTATCCCAGAAGTTACCTCAGGCCTAAATGAGGAATCTGGGTGGACGTGAATGTTAGAGAGAGATGCTCATTTGTTTTCCATGTGCTCAAGCTTGCAGACCCCTTTGCAAAACTCAGAATCGAGAATTTAAAACCCTTTGTATAGTGCTAGATTGTACATTCAGAACTACTTCCCCTTCTGTATGTCGCTTGGGCTTTAAGATTCAAGTTGTTGTAATTTTTTGTCAGTCTGCCTTCCTTCATGAACCTTTATTAAAACGTGACAACCTGTGGCGTACTTAAAAGTCCATAATTGTTCTTTTTCATTACTGTGTCTTTTGTCATCTTCTCCTGAATTGTGTTAACTAAAGTGACATATTACACCTAGACCATGTGATTGTTGACTTTCTACTGGAGATGTATATAAGAAAGTCTCAAGAGACATTTCATGTACACATTAAAAATCAGTTTAAATGAAAAAATGTACTCATCCCTTTAATTCTGATGCAGCATTTCAGTAGGTAGCAAATAACTGTGAATAATAAATACTGCTATGTAGCCTTCACTACTCATTTTACGGTTTTGATTGTGGGGCTGGGCTAATTTCTTACCTATAATTTGGATTGATAAATGCTGCTTTACGGCTGGTATTTGTAGTTTTGTTTTTCAGAATGTGGAATTAATAAATTGAAAAAAGGGTCCACAAGTAGTCTTTTATTAGTAAATGCATACACCAAAGCTGCAATTTCTGTCAAATCAAGATGGGTCATTCATTCTACAGATAATGCTAGATCGGGAGATATAAAATGCCTTGAGCTTTTAGTGCCTAGATCAACACATTAAAAGCCCACATTCTCCTGCTCTTCACGGTCTATTCCTAATTTGAACATGGACTTCATTCCTTGGCTTGGTAGTGTGTTGGTCAGCTCTATGCATCTAGGGTCCCGGGTTTTATTTCCAGCTGGAGGTGTCTGTGTGGAGTCTGCATGTTCTGTCCAGATTCACATCCATTTTTGCAAGATGCTGTGGTTCACTCCCCAATCCCTTGCCCAAGGACTTCCAAGTGGTTTCAGTGGGAATCTTCCCCAGTGACGCTACCTTGCTTGTGATGTCAAGCTGATGTAAGTTTCCTTTTCTGTAGCCAATAACTGCCATTTTAATTTTTCATGTTCCGGCAGACTAATTCATTATTTTTTTTTATACTTAAACTTTTAAAACCTTAACCATTGTTTATAAAGAGCAACATACTCCAGCAAGACATCACGCATTAGATTTCGCATTTTAACCGTGTCATCGATTAGAAATGCTTCCTGAGGCATTGTGGTGCATTGTGGTGCATTGTGGTCCATCGTTTGGTTGAACTGCACAGTCCCTGCCATATCTTTTTTTCTTAAAACAAAATACCATCGTTTTCTATCCACGTCTGTATGCGAGTTTACTCACGTCTGTTTTCAGCACATCCAGGGTTAGGGGTGCTAACATTGTTATGCTACTCGTCTCACTGAGGTGCCTCGCGTTGACACCCAAATCATTTCGGTCAGCAGAATAGAGAAAATACTCTTTCCGCCCATTCCCCTTGGACAACGACACAGCGAGCCACAGCTGCAAGCCCAGATGTGCTGCACTTAAACAACACTCTCCGGGAGTGACTGTGGTCTGAAACAACCGGCCCTGTTTGTTGTCTAAACCGATTCCCTTGGGATTATCCAGGAAGAGGATGGACCAGATTTGGGGAGTGTGTGTGTGCGTCTAGGGAGAGGGGATGTTCACTTCGCTACCACCAGTCCAAAAAAAAAAAAAAGATGGGACAAAAGTCTTAAAGCAGTTCTCGCTCTTTCTTCCACGGTCTAAACTACTCAGAACTATCGAAAAGTGAATTCCTTAACCGTTAAAATCGCTTTCAGGCACAAATGCAACAATTCAGATAATACGATTCACGGGCTGGAGGGTGTAAAAACCCTTCGAGTGAAAATTGCGCAATTTTGCTTTAAAGATCGAGCAGAAATCGTTAAAAAATGAACGGGACAAGCGTTATGCTGGGAACGTGAATAATTGTCGCCCTCTGGTGGTATTTTTTTGGACCAGTAAAGTTTAGTAACCACACTCCAGGGACAGGCGTGCTGGGACACTGGCCCTGGTGCGAGTCTGACTGCCCTGTGATGGACTGGCGTCCCGTCCCGGATCTATCCCGCCTTGCGCCTGTTGGATGAAGGGGTTAGAGGATGGACGGATGAGAAGGGTTGAAAAGGACGGGGAAGGTGCCCCTGCATCTCGCTTGAGTGGTATTTTACCATCTAAGTGAATCTCCATTTTCGTCCCGTCTTTTCTTTAAAGTGCCCAGAATGTCGGACTCCACCGCGTTGCTGAGACGCCTTTTCCACGGGGAAACGTTTCCTCTTCTTTTAATTTCTTTTAACTTTCCAGTTGTGACCCTGCATAATTATTTTGCTACTGAGTCTGGGACAGGCCCCTAGTTTAATCCCGCCTGTAAGCCCTATGAATCCTATAGTGTGTCATTGAATCAAAGCTCAAGAGAAGAGAAATCAGACTTGTTCTAGACCCGAGCTGCCTGCGGGTTTACCTTAGTACTAAACTACATCCACAGGTTACTGGCTTACCAGAAACGATTTAACAAGGTTTCCCAGCTCTGCAGATGCTGCAGCTGCCATAAAGAGTTCTCCAGGAATAATAATAATAATAGATTTTATTGTATATAGCGCCTTTAAAAGTGGCTTCCCAAAGCGCTTTAAACAAAGAAAAGTATAAAACAGTGAGAGGATATCTCTGTCACACCGTTACAATGAGGGTTTGAATACAGTGGGAGAGCAAATTATTATTATTATTATAAAGAGAACCAGTTCATTAAAAGCCCTTCTAAAGAAGACGTTTTGAGTGTGGATTTGAACGTGCGCAGGGAAAGTGGCTCTCTGATATCCCTGGGGATAGATTTCCAGATTTCACCCATATTATGCAGACGGGCTTGGGGACAGACAGGAAACTAGAATTAGACGGATGAAGGTGCGAGGTGGGGAATAGGACGATAGTAACTCAGTCAAGTATTGCGGTGCCCAATGTATTCCCTTTCATTACTCATTACTTTTCTTTAGGGTCTCTTTTTAAATAAATAAATCCGGTAACTGACGTGTGTTACCCAATCTGTTTTTCTTCCCACATTCCTTTCCCTGATAAATTAAACGATTTCTATCCCTATCCGCCAGGACACTCCACCGACCTAGAGTCGGGACGAACTGCGCATGCGCCGCTCTCCCTCGCTCCCGGCCACCCTGCGTGACGTCGGCGCACCACCCTCCTGGCCTGGTGCGATTGGCCGAGAGCCTGACAAGCCCTCGGTAGCGAACCATCCCATTGGGTACTGAGGTCGAGCAGCGCTGTCAGTCAAACAGAAGGCGGAACCTCGCCAAGCAGGAGGGGGTGGACAGGAGTAGCCGTGTGCTGTAATGTCACATTTAACCAGCGCTGTCCCAGCGTTAAGCGGTCCTTCACGGTGGTTATGTTTTATCTGACTATTTATGTATTTTTAAAAGGAAGTTGGCATTGTTCGGGGTTTGAATTGCGTATGTTCCCGAAGCTGCCGCCGCGGTTTAGGTGAGTCCGACTTTGTGGTTTACGGCATCCGCTCAATTCTAGTGTGTTAAACTGCACAAGAAGTTTAACTGATTTTTATGCGTGCCAAGGCAGTGTTAGTTTTTTTGCCTTTGTTCGGGGGCAGCTGGCTGTGTAATTTCGCGAGTCTGATGCAAGAGCAGGTTGTCGTGTCCGCCAATGTCAAACGCACGCCGGACGTCAATGTGCTGTGACCTAGTCCTCACATTTCTTAAAGTGCTCCTTTGAAACCGACTGACGACAGCTCGTCTGGCTCTCTTTTCGCTTTCATAGCTCCTGTTGTCAGTAGATGGATTCATTGTCCATATGATTTACCCATTTACCGTCAAGATCATTCTCATAATAACACACCTTAATTTAAATCCCGCTTTTGAAAGTAGCTTCTCAAAGCGCTTTACAGTAAGAAAAACACCTGTCGAGGTGTAATGTTTGCGAAATTCATTTATCTTCCTCTACGGCTTACTGACTTTTTGAACCTTATGGGAATCTCTTTCTGTGCCTTGTCCCTGTGTTGTGTGTGTGTGTTTTCTCAGGGGACCCGTGCAGTTATGGTGGGGTATGACCCTGGGGCGCAGGGAGCGACGCTCTCCACAGAGGAGGTGATGCTGGCCGGTTCTCTGGCCGGCATGGTGACCAGAGCTCTGATCAGCCCCTTGGATGTTGTCAAAATCCGATTCCAGGTGTGCTCTGAGGACATGTGGGCAGCTGTTGTGGGGGCTTCAGTTCGTTGTCTTGCAGATGTTGTACGAGGAGGAGGGCAAGGACCGCGAGATTTGTACAATCTTTTCAAAGGTTGTACTTGTGTTGGTGGGAGGAACACGGTACAGCACATCACACCCCTTTAAAACACTTCATCCATTTTTTTAACGAATGTATCCAGGACTTGGGGAGCCGGAGCCTATCCTGGCAGGCAATGGGAGTCAGGCAGGGTACACCCTGGATGGGACGCCAGTCCATGACAGTGCACGCAAAGACACAGGCGCAAACGTTAACACACTCACACCAGGGCCGGTTTCCCCAGAGACCATTGAACCTACCAGCATGTCTTTGTGAGGGAACCCACGTGAACATGGCGAGAACATACAAACTCCATGCAGATAGCAGCACCGTAATTGAACCCAGGACCCCAACGCTGCTGTGAGGCAGGAATGCTAACTACTGCGCCACCGTGCTGCCTGCAAAACATTTCATGCTTTACAAAAGTAAAAAAAAAGGATTTAAGTACACAATGAAAATAGTATGCCAAACATGAACGTTTACATTTCATTTGGATTTATTCCAAGTATAAATCTCCTGACGGCAACAATTAGGCAGCGTCTTTGAAAGCACCAGCACCCTGCAAGTAGTTTGTTTTGTAGCAGGAGGCTCTTCGGGCGCTCGAGCAACAGCTCCTCAGTGAAGCTCGAAAGGAACGTGTCCTGAACTCTGCCATTTCAGTCATTCGGCATGCTTAACTGCTCTATTAAGAGATTCTTCCCAGGTGGACGAGCTTGCGTTGTCAGTGAGTGAGTGAGTCACTGGGCCCCACCCCAACCCACAGGGAAGCAAAGAGAATAAGGCAGCCAAGCAGCCACAGTTAGAGATGCCCACAGTCTAACAGACACTCTCCTCCGGGAATCAGTTTGCAGGATAATCGCTCATTTATATAGGGCTCTGCCCGGTTTTCCTATCACATTAGCCGAAAAGATGAGTATTTTTACCCGCAGTAAAACTTGTAAATACATTTCAGGGAGTTTAATAGCCCTTCAAGGTTCTGCCTTGTTACTGCCATCACTCTGCCTTGAAGGTAGGTACTGAGTGTCCCGGAGCAGTGCTGAAGGCGAGGTCTGAGATTTCGGGATGCCGCGAAGGGAGCTTTTTCAGCGATGGCTGTCTCTGTGCCCGGTCTTGCAGCTGCAGATCGAGAAGGTGTCGGCGCGGTCTCCCCAGGGGAAGTACCACGGCCTGTGGCAGGCCTGCCAGCGCATCCGCGCGGAGGAGGGCCTGCGGGCTTTCTGGAAGGGCCACATCCCCGCCCAGCTCCTCTCCATCGGCTTCGGGGCCGTGCAGGTGTGCTGCCGTGCTCTCTCACCTGCTTTCTCCCCGTCGCAGGTCCCTTCTCGCACTCTCGTTTCAGGGGCTCCAGGCCCCCCCCTGCTCTTCCTCTCTCCCTCCACTCCTCCCTCTGCTTCTGGGAGGTTTCAAAGGAACACGAGAACAGGTTCGGGTACGAGGAGGCTGTTGCGCCCGTCTAGCCTGCCTGGATGTTTACTAGCTAATGAATCCGAAGATCTCATCCAGCCCTTTCTTTGAATACACCCAGGGTTCGGCTTCAGCCTCATAGCTTGGTAGCTTGTTCCATACTCCCGCAACCTTTTGGGTAAAGTAATGCTGCCTGTTTTTGGTTTTACATGCATTTACACCAGCAGCCATATCGCCCTGCAGCTCACAGCTGGCAGCCCACTGAAGCTCAGCAGGTGTGAGCCTGATGGGAGACCTCCTGGGAAAAACTAAGGTTGCTGCTGGAAGAGGTGTTAGTGGGGCCAGCAGGGGGCGCTCACCCTGCAGTCTATGTGGGTCCTAATGGCCCAGTATAGCGACGGGGACACTATACTGTAAAAAGGTGCCGTCCTTCAGATGAGACGTAAAACCAAGGTCCTGACACCCTGTGGTCATTAAAAATACCAGGGTGAGTAGGGGTGTAACCTTACCAATCATGGCCTGCTATTAATCCCTGTCTATGAACTGGCTTCATCACTCTGCTCTCCTCCCCACTGAGAGCTGGTGTGTGGGGAGAGTACTGGTGCACTATGGCTGCCAGGTGGGGGTAACACACAGTGGTCGTGGAGAAGAGTCCCGATTACCTGGAATTGTATTTCATTATTTTTATTTCCACTAAACCCACACAACTGGTCTCAGATTGGTCCGCTCTGCACTGTGTCCAGCTACTGTGTGCCCCTTTCTCTCCTTCAGTCTGTTCATTTCCTTTCTCATTTGCTGCCTGTAATCCTTGCTGAGATTCTCCTTTTCCTCTGCAGTGGAAAGTTCAGACATATAGTGTCAATTATATCACTGCTATACGTGGAAAAAAAAACTAAACAAAACATGGTGAGTTATTGAATTGAGAAAGAAGGGTGACCGAGACGGTTTGTCCCGTTTTATCCTGTTTCCTCAGTTCGCCAGTTTTGAGTTCCTGACGGAGTTTGTGCACAAGGCCACCCCCTACAACAGCAGGACGGCAGGGGTGCACTTCGTGTGCGGGGGGCTCGCAGCCTGCTCGGCCACTGTGGCCTGCCAGCCCCTGGACACCCTCCGCACGCGTTTCGCAGCTCAGGGAGAGCCCAAGGTGAGGGCTGACAGCTCAGACCGAGGCACCAGAGACAGAGCACTTCGCTGGTCACGATGTGTCTGGGCTCATACCTCCCAAAGCAGGAGAAAGAACAGGCCATACTGCTTTGTTATTTGTTATTTAATCCTTTCATTTTTATTCACATATAGATTCGGCCCCTGTACCTTCATTTATTACCTCTGATGTTGACCATTTGCATGGGTCATACATATGTTGTGTTATTGGCGTGTGTGCCTTTAGGCTAAGTTAAAGCACCTTTTGTCTGCTGTGTTCCAGTTCACCTTGGGGTTTTGTTGTTTTGAAGGTGTACCATAACCTGAGGCATGCCCTGTCCACTATGTATCGCACTGAGGGTGTCCTTGCATTCTACCGGGGCCTGACGCCCACCATGATCGCCGTCTTCCCCTACGCTGGGATGCAGTTCTTCTTCTACAACATCTTACAGCACGTCTACCTTTGGGCCATGCACAGCAATGCCAGCGCCACAGGTCAGGGGTCAGGGGTCAGGGGTTAGGGGTCACAGGGTCATGGCCAGAGCTGCAAGGGAGCCAGGCTCGTGGTTTTCCGGGCCAATAGGAGGGGAGCCATCCCCCCTTCCAGCTGAAGGGGTTGGGGAATGAGTGACTTACATTTGCTTTGGCAACACTGATTGTAGCCATCGGTCATGCTAATAAAGCACCTTGAATTGAATTGAACAGGGGAGATGTGGATGAAGATGAGTCCCAGTAGACACGTTAATCGAAAGAAAATGCATAAACCAAGTAAAATACATCATGAGACAGTCAAACAAGTCCAGATGCGACTTATCAGAAGGATATGGTTCTAGCGTTCAGGAGAGGATGTCTTAAAAAGACAGGTTGCATGAGAATTGAACAGTTCTTGCTCTGGAAAATGATTAACTGTTTTTTTCTCCCATCATCAGAGTATCTTCGGTTTTCTCTCATTTCAGATAATGTTCGTAACCTCGTGTGTGGTGGCTGTGCTGGGGTGATCAGCAAGACCATCACCTACCCTTTTGACCTCTTCAAGAAGAGGCTGCAGGTCCGGGGGTTTGAGGAGGCCAGGATCCCCTTTGGACAGGTAAGCTCTCACCTCCTTTTCCTCGTCTCCCCCTAATTCATGTTGTCCGAGTATCTGTTCATCTACTGCGACTAAACTTTCCTTTCCTCTAAAACACGAGTAATCGTGACAGCCATTCCCTCAGCAGGGCAGCGGGTGTTGTAATTATTGACAATTTATTTGGCTGATGTTTTTTTTTTAAAAAGCGATTCGCTGGACAGCCGCTGTGCTTGCGAACAGATCAGGGACAGAGCCTTTGTCATTGAGAGGTTGGCCGGTTGTAAGGAAGGAAAAGGAAGTACCTGCAGGTCCTCCCAAGTGATACAAATGACTCAAGAGTTTCCAGCCCATTCGTTGTCATTCTGTGTGCAGAAGGTGCCATGCTTCTTCATTGCATGGTCCGCTCTAAACAGATCGAGAGCACGTGGAGGAATCTAAGTGTGCTGAAGGGTATAACAGCAGTGCCAAACCATCTTAACCTCACCTAGTCTATGTCCTCATCGGCGTTGCAGGGGGGGTGTTTCAGGAGGGTTAACTGTGTCTGTTGTTTGCGAAGGTCCGGTCGTACCAGGGGTTTGTGGACTGCATGGCGAAGATCGCCCAGGAGGAGGGCCTGCGGGGCTTCTTTAAGGGCCTCTCCCCGAGCCTGATCAAGGCGGCCATGTCTACGGGGTTCACCTTCTTCTGGTACGAGCTCTTCTGCGACTCCCTGCGCCTCCTGAGGGGAAGGAGGGACTGAAGGGAGCAGCTGGGGAGAGGGGAGGAGAGGCACATCTGTTTCCAGACCACCTCGTGCCCTGCCTCACTGCCTCCTGTTCTCCTTACGCCGGCCCAGACAGGCGGGCCACGTTACTGACATTCTGCACCAGGGGTGGCCGGTGCGACCCACGCTCCAGCGGGCTCTCCGCTCCTCCGTTGTGAAAGACCCGGGAGGAAAAATGTCAGCTGGTAAATCTTGAGGCGGGAGGTGACCAGCAACCAGCCCGACTGACCAGCACGGGGCTGTGAATGATTCCTGACTGGCTGCGCCCTAAGCGACGCAGGAGTTTCTGTTGTTACTTTCATCTGCCAAACAAATTTACTGATCGGTCAGTCACCTGTGGTGGTTTTGTTGTTGTTGCTGTTTTCAAGTCTTTATTATTTGAGGGCGTCTGTCCAGGAGACTGGGCCTGGCCTCCACCCCTTGGTAGAGAATATCCTATACCTCAAAACCTAAGACACCACAGGGTGTCGGTCAGCTCCTCTTCTCTCTGCATGCTATCCTTTATCTTGCAGCTCTCCACTGAAAGCGCACATGTCAATTCACTTATGCACGTCACTGCATGTTCACGTGCAAAGAGAAATAGTTTAAACATTACAGCTGCATCAGTTCTCCATTCAGACAGAAATGCAGTGTGCCTTACACAACGCACAGCTCTTATTTATTTATCTGTTGCACGCAGTGTTAACTATGAATGTATTTTGTGTTCAGGCAGAAGTTGGGGGTTTTGCTCTTGGCTTTTCAGCATGTTTCCTGTGAGGTCAACTCCAGTTCCGCGCACACACAAATACACCCACCGTTAAAACACAAAACACGTTGATCCTGATTCAAGACAATTCACAGAGGTTTACACTTGAAAACGTTAACACTGCATTCTTACAGAAAAACATGTTGAGTAGCTAATCCACTTCATTAAAGGAATGTTGCTTGCCCTTTTATTTACAGTTGGCGTACTCTTTTCAGAAAATGAACAAATGGTTTCATAGGAAATTATAAAGATGGAGGCTTTCTGAAAGGCTCTGTCCTACTCAAGGGATTTACTGAGGAACTAAAGCCTCAGTTTAACACAAAGTTTGTGAATCGGAGAGATATGGTTTTAGGTTGTTAAACTGAATAACCATAGCGTACACGCTTCTGGTGTTTAACAAGAAGTGAGTACAGCTAAGAATTGAATCTGTCTTTCAGCAAAATCATTATCTTGTGTGCACATACTTTATATGACTGCTTAAACCATAGTCTTCAAAAGTGTTTGACGAGGGAACCAGCAACTGAAGTGCCTGTATTTAAAAAGTATAAGGGTGTATAATAGTTTTTAGATCTTTATCTTCTTAGGCAATGCAGCAGTGTTTAGTGGTGCATTTACATGTGGTGTCCACAGAGATGGCTTTTGAAATACTCATTTGTCAGCTTGTTGATGGGAAGAGCTTAATTATTCACCTAATATGTCACGTTCTCTATATTGTTTGTGGAAAATACAGTGAAGGTGCACACTGGACCATCATGTATTTAACTAAAGCACAGAATTAGCAGTGACTAGCTGTTATGGATGTAGAAGACCTGGGAGGAGGGAGGTTAATCTTGGAAAATACTTTCTTAAGTGAGATTTTTTTCTCAGTCTCTCCTCACCCAGATCAATCTGAGCCCCTGTATCCCCATTCAGAAAAAAAATCAGCTGGACTTTAGAAGCATCCAAGCCTTTTTCATTCTTTAAATGAATTGTTAAATTTGTTTTTAAATAGTATCTCACTATGTAGCACAGTGTTATGAGATTAGTTACTGGGTAAAAATGGAACTGGCTGAACAGCAGTACTCAGCCTTTGCGTAAGTACCTGTTTCATACCAGTGTTCATGCTGCTTTAATTGTGTGTGAATTTATATGTCTGTTGGTGGGTTTTTTCTCTGAAAGCAGTTTCACTGAAATCCGTCCTCCACCGTATTTAGGTCTCCAGTTCATGTGTGTATATTCAACAATTAGTAAGTGTGCTTTACAGCAAAATATTGGCTGTGTTTGCCCGATTTTGCATCGGTGGGCTGTATGACTCTCTTGTCATTCTGGGGGGAAAACAATTTAAGTGTTTTTGTCAGAGGCCAAGAACACAGTGTGTGCTTATCTCAGACCTACGTACAGTACTGTACATCCAGAGTCTCTTTGTGGTCACCAGATCACACCGAACTAGCTGTTCTATCTCTCATGTATATTTTTTTTACTTTAAAGAAGATATAATAAAATATAAAATCTTGACTGAACTGCTTTTTCGTTGTTTTTTATATCAACGATATAGTATTAAAAATACAGCACCGCACTGTGCGCCGCCTATACCCTCCAAGCGTTAGTAAAATGTATTTTAAACCAAGCCTGTAGGCGGCGCTGCTGTTTGTTAATCCTGCGGAAATGACCTAAAGGCGAGGAGGAAATTTGAGGCCACTCAGTGGCATGGAAATATTTCGGCGATAGGAAGGAGTTGCTTTAAAGTAAGTGTCTGGAGTTTATCTGTCGTGTACCTGTATGGTTTTTAATGATGTAGCTTGGTTAGCTGAATGTTGTTTTCGTGTAGTTGGGCTAGATTTTATCGTTTTCAAATGTTGATATTTGGTGCATTCTCTTAATGTCTTGTTAAATCGAATAGACAAGAAAATCAATGTTTACCTGTCCCGCAGGTTTGCTCTGTGAAATACTTCATGTAATGCAGCTAAAGAGCTAGTGTTAGTAGTATTTACTGTAGCCATTACTGCACAAAAAGCAAAATAGTTTGCATAGCGCTTCAAAAGGTTTGTTTGTGTTCAACATTTTTTTTTTCTTGTATAAAATCTGCACGGGAAAACGTGACGTAGAGCTGCCGTAACGTGGAAAACGAAAACTGGATACATTTTTCGAAATTAAAAGCATGTCGTGGATTTTTTTTTTTAAAAAAAAAACAAGTTTTCATGTCTAGTGAAAATTGCAAAAAACACTTCTGTTGGTTTTTTTTTTCCCCCACCTGCGTGGATTGGACGAGCCCGTCCGGTCGGGAGACAGCACTGCCTTTTTTAAGTTGAAAAAAAAAACTGGTTTACGGGGTGAAATACACGTGGTATATCTGAATCGAACGGGAATTTGGTAAAACTAAAATAAAGTCTCGGTGTGTCGCTAGTCATTAGTAGACGAGTGCAGTTATTTCAGTGACGCTGTGATCTTTGGCATACATTGTGAAACATCACTTTTGTATCCGCAGGTAACTTTGAACCAAGTCTAAGGAAGTATAACACTACACACACACACAAAACAAAACATGCATTAGTTATTTTTAAGAACCCATTGAGCCGCTGTTGTGTTGTTGGTCAGTGTGCTGTAATCCTGTAATCCCGCTGTCAAAAGGCTGTCTGTTGGAGTCCGGCTTTGGGGCGAAACCAGTTGATGACAGGGCATGTTTCCGTGCAAGGGGGGTATTTTCGCCGTGAGCTTGGTGGAAACACTCAACGCGGGAGTGTGGCAGAGTACACGTGTTTTGATTATTTTAATATCCCCGTGCAAAAAAAAAAGATCTTTTCATCCTTTTTATACCTGCTTCTCCAAGGAAAGCTTTGGGGAATGCGTGATAGGACAGTAGTAAGTGAAATAGGTGCGTTTACATGTCCGTGAGCCTATTGTCATTAAGTGGGACTTCAGTTCTGAAGCTTACTGGGCCAGTTCAGATTGGTAAGCATGTGGTGACTGGGGGCTGTGGGATTGGATCGGGGTTTTAGGGGCCAGACTGGGAAGCTGGGGACTCAGTTCCCAGGTGAGGCCCTGTCCTTGTAACCTTGAGCAATGTGCTCCTCTCAGACTGCCCCGGTAAACCACCTGCTGTACCGTTGCAAGCGAGAAGTTGTTTTCAGACGACTCGCCTAGTAAAATCCGCAGTCGGGCGAGTCCAGGGACCCTGTTTAATTGTTGTCTGTGCTGTAATGGAGCTGCCCCGCCGCTGTCCCACCGGCCTGTTCACCTGTCCTGTTGTCCGCGCTGCACAGAGCGCAGGAAGTCCCGGAAACATGGAGAGCTCCGCCAACGAGGAGTACAAAATCCAGTCCTTCGACAACGAGACGCAGCAGCTGCTCAAGACGGCTCTGAAAGGTCAGCTGGCCTGGGCGCAAATGGGCAGAGAATTAAAAAAAAAACGAAGAGGTTGTGTTTGCCTGGGTGTGTATAGTTGTGGGGGGCGAGATCTGTATTCCTCAAAAGAAGACTGACTGCCTCATAATACAGATAGAAACTTCAGCCAATATTCTGCTCTGTAGAGGCTTTTCCACAGCTCCTTCAGTACACCCTAGGAGCTGGGTAAATGCTGTAGAGTATGAGTGAAATTGCAATGGAGTCCCTTAAACCACTTTAATTGGAGAAGTAAATGATCAGTCTGAGAATTTTAATGTTGCACTTCATTGTTTTACTGATTCTATTCCTCTTTATAATAAACACTACCGCTCTGCAGTATTGCTGTGCGTTTTGTAATTCTTTGCTTGCTTTTATAAAGAAAGCTTATGGTTTATTAGAGCCGTTTGATGCTGCATAAGCCCATTATACGATCTTCAGCGTTTGGAAAAGCAACTGGAAAGCTGGGGTTCAGAGAGTCCTCTGTCTGTCCCCCCCATTAGAGCCGAGCGGAGTGGATCTGGAGAAGGTGGCCAACGTGATCGTGGACCAGTCGCTGAAGGACCAGCTGTTCAGTAAAGAGGCAGGCCGGATCTGCTACACTATAGTCCAGGTATCCGTGAGCTGCAAGCGCCGTTGATGTTGTTCACATCGACTGACCGGCGTCTCTCTGCCTTTGTGGAATCCGGTATTGATCTTGAAGAGTTCTGTCTTTAGCCTGCCTTGTTAAACCTGCTTTAGAAGGACCATTGCCTCGCTTTCCTCTGGTTGTTCTCCCATCCATACAGGACATTTATGACAGACGGTGCTTGAGGAAAGCTCTAACATTATCAAAGACCCCACACACTCCAGCTACAGACTGTTTGACCCTCATGGTAGAGCCCCTGTATCCCCATTCAAAAAAACCATCTGGAAAACGGTACTGGAGCATTCGAACCGGACTACCAGACTCAGAGACAGTTTTTACCCCTGCCCTATCAAACTACTAAACTCCCAGCTGCTCTCACCTACAATCTGAACCCTCACAGTGCCTTCTCTCTTCATCAAATCCCAAACACACATTGAAATCTACCTCTACCTCACGTGTCAAGAAGTTCACTCCCCATAAGTTCTATCCTTTTATTTCATTCTGTTGATGCATATTTTTGCACATCTGATGTTGTTCTTGCACATTACCTGTTACCTTTTTGTTGTTTTGCACATTGCCTGTTGTCTCTGTCTTTCTTTTCTTATACAATTGTATTGTTGTTTTTTTTGTACTACGTATCGTCTGAGAGCTGGCTAAATAGCATCTCGTTATACCATATACCTGAGTATGAGTATAATGACAATGAACTTGAACTTGTTCGGCAGTGGGTGTCTCTTGCGAGGAGTGTTCTGACTGCTCTAGGCATGAAAAGGTGCTTCATTTAGGCTTGTGGGTCCAAGCAAGCAGTCGCCACGATTCTGTGGCTCCACTGGAAGAGGGGGGCCGGAGGAGTCCTCCGCTGACCGTGGCGGTTCTCTCTCTCTCTCTCTCTCTCTCGCTGCTCAGGCAGAAGCCAAGCAGAGCAACTCCAGCGCCTTCCGGCGGAGTCTCCTGAACCGCCTGCAGCAGGAATTCAAGCGCCGGGAGGAGATCCGGAGCCGCTCCACCCAGGAGTGGGTCTGCTACGTCACCTTCATCTGCAACGTCTTCGACTACCTCAAGGTGGGAGAGCTCGTGTCTGGGGCCTGGCCCTGCCTGCCGGTCGGGATGAGAGAGGGCCCAGAAATTGGCTCAAGGCGGCTGCGGGCAGGGGAGAGAATCTCTTTCTTTTGAAGATGCAGGGGCAGTTCTAACTGAGGACTGGTTTCCAATCCGTGATTCCGATGGGGGGGAGAATGCTGTCTGTGCAGAGATGTGGCTGTAACCTGCTACCACTTTTCCTGACTTAGCCGGCGTGTCGGGGCACTAGGGCACTGCTAGGAAAAATAAAGACTGTGTTTGGTTCCAGGTGAATAACATGCCAATGATGGCTCTGGTGAACCCCGTGTACGACTGCCTGTTCAGGCTGGCCCAGCCGGACTCTCTGCAGAACGAGGAGGAGGTGAGTGAGCCTGGCTGACGACGCAGACCCCCTCCCGCGATCACTGGGGTCCGTCGCGCCGTCTGATTCGTTGAGAGTAGCCCGCTGCGTGGCGGGTCCGCAGACCAGCCGGGGGAAATCGCTCTGCTTGCTGGAGCGCGCCGCTGGTCTTTTCCACCTCGGTGGTGATTAACGCAAGCGAAGACGTGAGCCAGCTCCCTTCTGCTGCTAGGGTCGTTAGTGTCAGGCGAACAGATTGCAGCTCCGCACTGGGCGAGTTTTGTACCGGGGGGGTCTCGACAGCTTGAGGCCGTCTCCACCGAGCTCGCGCCCGGGCTTGCTCTGAAACTCATGGGTGTCGTGTGTTCACGGGCGACATCCTAGGATGGGTAGCATTAGTGGGTGCAGAGGATGGAGGGATAAAACCGGCTCGCGGATGGGAAAGTGGGGGGATACACGCCGGGGGGGGAGCAAACGCCGGAGTTGCACGAATCCCGATCGGCGCCGAACGGCAAAGAGCAACGTCCCGCCCTGTGTGTCCCGCAGGTCGACTGCCTGGTGCTGCAGCTGCACCGCATCGGGGAGCAGCTGGAGAAGATGCGCGCGGAGCGCATGGACGAGCTCTTCTTCCTGCTGCGGGACGGCTTCCTGCTGCAGGAGGGGCTGAGCTCGCTGGGCCGCCTGCTGCTGCTGGAGATCCTGGAGTTCAGGGCGGGGGGCTGGTCCCTCAGCGGCACGGCGCAGAAGTACTACTACAGCGAGGTGACCGACTGAGGGGGGCCGGGGGGCGGAGGATGTGGGGACCCCACGACTGAGGATGGGGACTGGGAAACCTAGACCTCAGTGCAGGCACGGACCTGCACGAATGAATAGCCGCTCCCAAAAAGCATTTGGAACAGTTTGTTGGTTGAATAAAATAATGACAGCGATCAAATGTGTGCATTGGATTGACGTTCGCTTGAAACACTGCCTGGATTTTGAAAATAGGTTTAGTTAGAAAAGGCCCTCAGAACAAAAATTTGTCCAATTGCCAGCTGACAGCAATGGCTGGTCTGTGTTCCTCATTGACCCTAGTGATCGCTGGGCGCGGTGTTCGGCTCTGTGCCGCACAAAGCCTTGACCACGTTTCACCGCACGGCTAGCAGGGCGAGAAAGGTGCTTTTAAATTAAAGTGAAGCAGTTTTGAACACGTTGGTTATCATGGTTTTGCTGCCTTTTTTTTCCCCAAGGGTTTGAAAGATGGTGTCTCAAGGGTCTACGCTGTTCTTCACTGGCAGAGTTTGCTCTTGACTTCTCTAAGGTGGTGAATTGAATTCAGATAGTGTAAGTCTGGTACTGGAGACGGTTCATTTAGGTTTCTGAAGGCTGTAGAGTTGAGAACGTGTGTAAGTGATACAGAATGCAGATAGATCATAGGTCGATGAATAAGTAGCAGACATACAAGCCCTTTTTCTGCTGCCTTTAGTTACAGAGTTATGATTGTTTTGGGGGGGTCAGTGTCATTTTTTCCCAGCTCTTTAATACTCCAAGAGTACTAAACTTATTTTAGCTTAGAGGGAAGATCCTGCAAGGCTGCAGTAATCCAAAAACGAAATCACTCATCTGCTTTCGGCAATCTACATATGCCTTAAAGTTGATTTTTTTAACCTAGAAGCTTATTTCAACAAGTTCAGTAACATCACCCCCTCTGCCTAGTCAACACTCTCAGTGATGAGGTTATTTAGGGTTAATGCAGCAGTCACAGCCATTCGGTCAGTTAATCCAAATAATGCCCAAACCATCCAAATCCATATATGTTATCTAAAAACATTTAGAATTACATGTATAATTCACCATAGAATCTGGGATCCATAAACTGTCATGATTTAACAATTACCTGAATAAAAAGAAATACAAATGCTGAAATCCCCCTTCACATCACCTATAGATTGCATTTACCTGCATTCATTTATAAGTTTGTTTACTTAGAAACAAAGCATTCATAAATTACGTGAGTGTGCCAGAAACATCAGTGCCATTGGTTGGGGAGCTCCTGTTCCCTGCTGACAGAGGTGTTTCTGACCTGAAATGAATCTAGACATCGCAAATTGACACTCCAAACAGGATTGTGCGTTTCAAACTTGTGCTATCAGCTCCTTTTTAGGATTTCACCACATAATTGTATATTTTGTTGAAGGCAGTTCTTACAAGGGCTTGTGAACCCATTCTGGTGCTAATTCTGAAATGTATGTTGTTGTCGTGTAATATATGTATTGCTAAGAAAAATAATTTTATAAGCTTGACTTTCTTATAAAGCCAAAGGCTAGTCTACACAATCCTATCAGGAAGATGGCTCCCTGCTGGTGTTAATGTACAGTATTACAATGGGTG